AAAAGGCTAACTTAAAGCAGGACCAGGTCTGACATGGAAAATCTTCACACGGTAACAAGAATCAGTTTGGTTTGTTCGCTGTCATTTCTCATTACTGTCTTTGTCAGGAGAACGGATTCGTGTTGTGCCATTTTCTGTTCTTGTTACAATCTTTGTCACATGAATAAGATATCAGGATGTTAATGCCTGGCGTACAGCCTTCCGTGGCTGATGATACTGTACAAGACTGCACTGACCTTTGCAGTATTACCTATTCTGATTGGTTGTTCATGACACCTCTTTCCCACGAGTTAATAAGGCTGTAAAAAGGGAGAGAACGGAAATGGCCAGCCAGTCAAATTACAGAATATTGAAAAGGTCAGAGCAGTGCAGCACGGAGGGAAAAAATTACGGAATATATGGTGCATTAAAATTCTTGTGACAATGATTAGAACAAGAATGGGAAAGCAAACCCATTTATGTATTTCAGTCTAGAGAGCCCAACAAGATGATATTCCCGGGATGCACATCATTTACGCATCCCTGACTCATACATGGGAAAATATCTACTTATGCTGATTTTTGCCCGAAAAATAATAGTATATGTCCTAATGTTCAATCATTGAGAATGCTAACAGTAAGGTTTTCAGTCTTCAAAGTGGTCATTGATGTTAACGTTTTAGTATGGCTTCCTGTTTGAAGCTAAAGGGAAAAGGGTTCTTGTGAGTGAAATCCACAGGACAGAAGGTTTATTTTGGTTGTTTCTTCATTAAACACTTGTTTATTCACTATAAAATAGAAAAGTAGGAATGCATGAATTAACCTTTTAGAAAATTCTTTAGAATGTGGAATACCCTGAAACACTTTCTAGTTTATTTAAAACTTTTAAATGAGCTTGCCCGGTGTGGCATGGCTCAATGGTTGAGCATCAACCCATGAACGGGAGGTCACAGGTTAATTCCCAGTGAGGCATATGTCCGGGTTGCAGGCTCAATCCCCAGTAGGGGGCGGGCAGGAGGCAGCCAATCAATGATCCTCTGTCACCAATGTTTCTATCTCTCGCTCCCTCTCTCTTCCTCTCTGAAATCAATAAAAAATATATTTTTTAAAAGGGTTGGAAGAGAGGAACTCCATCTAAGATGCCCAGCTCCTGGGGGCAGGGTGATGGAGAGCTGTGGACCAAGAACACACAAGCTTAAACAGGCCTGCACCATCCACTTATACTCACAAATAGGGTCCGCGCTGAGGCCCACCAGACAGGAAGGCTCACCTGCGATAGGAAATGCTTATCGCTTCAGCGTTTCCAGCCTGATTCTTGAGGCTGAACCAAAGGGACTGCTTTTTCCAGCCCACTGAAGACACAGTAGTTGCAGTGAAAAGTGACAAAGCACACCCTCTATAGAGCGGGGATTAGAGGACTTTAGTTGCAAGAATTTTCCCCAATACCTAGGGGCCCACAATGGTCAAGTTCAAAGGAAGAAAGAGAGGGCAGGGAGAATGAAGCGAAAGAAAAGCCAAAATTGTGGATCCTGATTTGTTTGTTTTAGTCTCTAGGTTCTATAATGGGGATTCATAAGTTTACTTTAAAACATCTCAATAGTGTCAGTTTATCTTTATTGTTGAAAGTATTACAAATATCCCTCCCCTCTTCCCCCCCGTTGACCCCCTCCACGCCACTCACTCCCCCGCTCCAGGCCTTTACTGCCCTGTTGTCTGTGTCCGTGGACAGTGCATCTGTGCATACAATTCTTTGGTTGATCTCTCCCCGTGCCCCGTGCCCCGCGCCCCCTTCCCTCTGAAATACTTCAGTCTGTTGCATGCTTCATGTCTCTGGTTGGTTAGTTTACTTTGTTCGTTAGATCCCATATATGAGTGAGATCATGTGATGCTTGTCTTTCTCTGTCTGGCCTGTTTCACTTGGCATAATACTCGGTTTTGGTTTTAAATCTGGCAATGTGAGCTTCCTGGACAGTTGAAATCCGGTCAGTGGCTCCAGGTCTGTGAATTGAGCTGCATGTGGCACTCGCTCAGCTGTGTGGCTCCCGGATATGTACAAGTTCTTTTTTGAGCTGAACAAAATGGTTTATGTAATTGCATACTTCTCATAATTATTGAGTAATTACATACTTCCTATAATTACTGAGTAATCATTGTTCTATAACTAGAACTTAATGTTACAACTAATTGTATAATTACCACGTATTAATGTTATCTGGGAAACTTAGAATAAAGTGGTACTTAATATATTTTCCCCTGCTCTGCCATTTCCAAAGCTAGTAATAATGTTTGTTTTACAGCTAGAAATTCGCTTCAAAACCCAACAAAATGCAAGGGGGGGTGAAATACATTTATTTATTATATTTATTCATATTTAATATATTTATTCATTAATTTTACATTTGCACCTAGCCCAAAATTTGTAAAATTGTATTATCTTGGCTTAACTTCAGAATTTTCATTATTGGTTTGAAATTTTCAATCCTTTGAAAGATGTACACAGTTCTACCCTTCAGAGGCAATCGGGCTTCTGCCTGGGTCTTATGGGATAAGCTGGCCTTTTTGATATTTTATAACCGGGCCTGTGACAACAGCAGTAGTTTGGGCTGTAACAGAAAAGGCTTCCACAGAACTAGACATTATGGGAACTTAAGGCGGCCTTTGGATGTGGCTCATTGTCTAAGTCATTTTCTTAGACAATGCTTAGAAGTGATGCACATTTAATCTTAACCAGGTCTCTGGAATGCCGGAACTGTCCGATGCATTTTGAGCATCCAATATAATAACAGGGTAATATGCAAATTGACCAAATGGCGGAACGACTGGAACAAACACGGCCCCTCGCCCTGGCCGCCCCTGCCCCCGATGGCCCCATGGGGCAGGCCAGCTGAACCCCACCAGTACATGAATTCGTGCACCGGGCCTCTAGGCCTATATAATAAAACACTAATATGCAAATAGACTGAAGAGCAGAACAACCGGTCGCTATGATGCGCACTGACCACCCAGAGGGAGGTGACTGGCAGCAACGGCGGGGCAATTGGGGGCAGGGCCGACTGGTGAGTGGGTGGGGCTGGCCAGCGGGGGCCGACAATTGCCCCACTCACCAGTCACTCCACAGATCGGCCCTGATCGCCGGCCAGTCCTAGGGACCCTACCCTATATATTGGGAACAGTCTCTTAGATTTAAAAAATAAAACCTGGCAAGGCTACTCTAACACTAAAAAAACAGGATGATGCAGC